TATGTATGAATGCAATGACATAAGTTTCCACTTCAAGAAAGTTCCTGGTAACTTCCTTCGTATATATATATTATTTGATTAATTCTTTCATGTAAAAATTTGATAATTTTTTATTATTAAGTATTTATTTCGGTTAAATTGGTCTGAAGGTCGGTCATCCTTTCTTACTCTACTATCTTTTGATCTTCAATTCTCTCTGAGCAATGCTCAAGTCAGATATGTTTCATAAAGAGGTCTATATTTTATTAGGATAGAAAAAAATGTATTTACATGGGCCTTAACCCTATATCTATAGGGCTTATGACAATCAAGCTCATTAATTAATTCATATTTGATATGACAATAAATCCAATAATACTTCCTAATATACCTGCTAATTGTCCATTAATACATGCAATATGATCATTAAACGTATATAATTGGCCATTAATGATATTTACCTTTCCTGATTAGTTTGTCTGACAGTCGGTCGTTTGCCAGGTATAGTACATTAAGCTTCCAAGCCTCGAGCAGCTGTTTGCAGGTGCGAAGGGGTTTAAACACGCCGGACGAACTTAAAGTGGCGGGAAAGAGTGATTACCCTCTTGAATCACCCGGCAGTGTGCTGTGGTTTGAGACCGAATGACCGAATACTTGTGATCGCTCGATTTAGGACCAGGAGCTCTCGGAGAGCGTTTCCTGGGTTTTGTGGACGAGGGTGAGAGTTCACGAACACTCTTCACCGCTCGGTTTAGGATCAGGAGCTCTCGGAGAGCGTTCCCGGGTTTTGTGGACGAGGGTGAGAGTTCACGAACACTCTTTACCGCTCAGTTTAGGACCAGGAGCTCTCGGAGAGCGTTCCCTAGGTTTTATGCCATCGCCCCGCAACTTGTGATTGGATGGAAATTGTCTGGCTTTATTCATACCAAAAGTGTAGATACGTAAGTCTTGTCAAGGTGGAACTTAAGACTGAACCTTCTAGTGCATGATATTTTTACTCAAAAAAATATGAGTTAAACAAATATATTATAATTTATAAATTATAATGAAAAGCGAAACTTGCCAAGGTTGAAAGTACGTAGCACTGAACCTTCCTGAAAGTTCTCAAAACAAAAGACATGCCTTTAGAAATTATTATGGAATTTTGTACTCTTGTTGCAAAACCTGGTATTGATCCGAAATAGCAATGTCGAGGCCGAGTGCACGTTTACACGTCTGGTTCCTCGTGGTTTCATGGGGATGTCGCTCAGTCCCACGGTAGGCGCCAAAATGTTTCAGTTAAATTGGTCTGAGGGTCGGTCGTCCTTCCTTGCTCTACTCTCTTTTGATCTTCCATCTTTGTTTCATAAAGAGGTCTATATTTTATTAAGATAGAAAATGATGTCTTTACTTGGGCCTTAACCCTATATTTATAGGACTTATGACAATCAAGCTCATTAATTCATATTTGATATGACAATAAATCAAATAATACTTGCTAATATGCTAATTGTCCATTAATACATGCAATATGACCTGTTAATCACTCATAAATAACATATATTTGCATTTAATATGACCATTAAACATATTAATTGACTATTACTGATATTTATCTGTCTTGATTAGTATGTCTGACATCCGATCGGTTGCTAGGTATAGTACAATAGTAATTGAGTTATATGTTTTGTTTAATCTTTTTAATGTAAAATGAGAAATATTAATTTCTATTACTTTAGTTTACTTAAAAGCATGAACCAAAAAAATATTATTATCAGTTACATCAACAGTGGTATTGACCATAATCCTTTGGTTGTGCATAAATTTATTGATATGTAAAATAATTTTGTTATTTAATATGTTTTAAATTAAAATAATAAAAGTTATTTATTATTTTATATTAACTGAAATATCGACTTATCTTAAAAAAAACTAAAATTTTTAAGACATTGAAATAAGTTAGTCAAATGACTGACTAAGATAACATCTACACAATCAAAACAATGAAAAAAATTAAAGATAACATCTACATGATCAAAATAATAATAAAATTTAAAAATGGATATTCAATTAAAAGTATAAAAATTTTCAGTATTCAACAGAATTTTTTTTTAATAAAGACTGCATTCAAAATAATTAAATCTATGATAAATTTGACATTAATTAAATCTTACAAATAAGAAGAATAATGATGAGTTTGAGAAATAAAGTTTTAATTACAGGTTATTAAATGATGTAATAATGAGTATAATATATACCAATTATTTGATTTTCAATAGTAAGTACATAACTTTTCTTTGAGTTATCATCGGTACACATGACTTATTTATTGGAAAATGCTATAAAATTACGACGTCTTACTCTTTTGTCTACCATATTATTCATTTATTTAATAAAACTACTTATCCTAAATTTAATTTGTATTATCCAGCTTGTTTAAAAAAAATATACACGCTGCATAGGAAAGCAGAAACTCCCAAAATAATAAAGGGAATCTGAAGTGAGGTGGGTCAAAATTCTTCCGTATTCTATTCCCTCCAGGATCGTATTTATATGTTTTCTTACATTTACGTATATTTATTAATTAACTATATAATCCTTCCTTCATATCCTTTGACCACCAACAAAGATGTAACGTTAAAAGTTTTTATAATTTTTTCTATTGATTTTAGTAATATAATAATATTTTAATACAAAAATTATAATTTGTTATTGTTTCAAATTTTAAATATATTTTAACTTTCAATTTTTAAATATTAATTGTGACACTTGGGCGATGAGGGCGGAGAGTGATCGCCGGTGCAAGAGGCACGATGTGCAAGGGGCACGTTCTGCAAGGGACATGATGTGCAAGGGGCACAGACAAGGAGCGGCTCCTAGCAGGTTTCCAGTGGAAGAGACAGATAGATGAATCGAATATACACCAGAATGAGAGGGATCTAGAGACTGTGTAGGTATAGGACTATACAGTTGAAAGATAGCTTAAAGGGATTGATTTGCACCAAATGCATTTGCTTTTCGGTAGCCTAACCCATAAGAACTCCATAGTTAAGCGTGTTAAAAAATTTATTATAAAAGAAATATATTTATTCACTTTTTATTTTTTAAGTTTAAAGATTAAAGTGTCGTGAAAATTTAAAAACTAAAAACATTATTAATTTAATAATGTATTTAGTTTATGGCTAAAAATGTTTGTAGTTCTTATCTAGGATGCTAAATTAAAATCCGTTTATACTCCAAACATTTTAAATGAATATATTTTGATTTCCAAACTTTTCACATAAATTAATATTTTTATTTTAGTTTAACAAATATTATCTTTTTGTTTTTTGGATAAAGTTTCATATTAACATTTGAAATAAAATGTGTTAAAATAATATAAAGAAATGAAATTTTATCTTAAAACGTGACACATAAAAGAATTTAAAATAATTAAATTAAAAATTATATCTATTAAGAATTTAGTTAAAGAAAAAGAAAAAGGGAGTGATGGTACCTGCACCGGATATATGTTGATGGAGAGTGGATATGCTTCCAGCTACACATTCCAGATCTGAATTATTTGGGATTATAATGTTGACTAAATCAAGATTTTGCTTTGTTTTATTAATATGGTGTGAAAGCTACTTAATCATTACAAATATTAATATGCGAAATTCAGCGCAACGAGATCGTGATTCGTGAATGAGATGTATACGATTCATTCACTACTCTCAATTACCAGTACTTCATTATACTTTCTTAACATTACTTTATTCCCATTGAAGTGCTCATCTATCATGGCAAAACAATGTAATTGGTTCAGGAGATACAACCTCTTTTTTTATAACTATGTGTACTACTTGTTAAGTGAAAAGTGCCTATACATGCGATCCTTGTTTCCCTTTTATATTAATGGATTTATACCATTTGTGCTTACATTTTGATTTGTAGAATCAACTAGATGTTAGACATTTGAGATGTTTATAATTGTAGAAAGCTAACAAAAGGTCGTATAAACCCTAGAACAAATCTAGCATACCATTTTTTTCCCCAGAAGAGGCATCCAAAATATATGAGATGCAGAAGGGACAAAAGCAATAGGTTCTAAGTAGAGTTTAACTCAATTTTTTATTCAACACATTAAGTATTTGGTTGGAAGAAAATAAAAGTATTTGTTTCCTCTTCACTAAAAGAATTATTCTTAGCCCACTGATTTTATTTAATCCTTTAGGTACATATAGCAGTAGGTTCATTTTTTCTTTCACCCTTTTTTGCTTGTAACGAAAAAAGTTTACCTCTCCGGTTTCTGTTAACATATTCTCTCTTTTAACTAGAGTGATAGGCCCTGACCGGGACTCCTGCACTTCCTAATTATTTTTTTTTATTCCAAAAATACTCTACATCTTTCCATTATTTTCTTCTATTCTAAAAATACCCTACACCTTCCCACTATATTCAACAATCTTTATCTATCTTTCCACTATTTTCTTTTATTCTAAAAATACCCTACACCTTCCCACTATATTCAACAATCTTTATCTTTCTCTCTCAACATTAATCGAGCATTCACATGACTCAGATTTAAACTTGTGATATATTGTAAAATTTTATTTACACTTTTCTTTAAATAAGTTTGATTCAATTTTATTTTCACTGTTGAATATATTTTTTTTCTTCAAATTACTTAATAAATGGTAAAATTTTGTTTTAAATTTCTAGAAAAATGTTTATATATATGTGTGCTTTTTTTTATATTTAATATCTATAATTTTTAACATTATATTATGTTTTAACTTATCGATTTGACCCAAGAAAATCTTAAATGTGTGGGATGATTTCATAATTCTCCAAATTCTAACTAGGCCCATGATATAAATTTTATACAATAGATTGTACAAAGTGTATTCTATGATCACCTATAAACTCTGGGCTCTTTTCATCGAATGTATTGATCATGGACCTAGGAGAAAATGAGTAGGGAATTTACCATCAAGTAGACTACATTTAAATCTAGAAAAACGGGTTAGAAGTTGTGTTCGCTGCATGAATAATGTCAATTATATTACCTAAAAAAGGAAACGATTCAATTAGAATAAATCCTATGATACATTAATTCCAAAACTCCACACTTATTTGTAGCATTGCCGTAAAAGACAGGTAAAAAGGTTCCTTAAAAATCTCATTTTACCATCTATACTCAGAAAACATGAATGCAGAAGTGAACGTATCATGAAAACCAGCTCTTTTTAATCAGTAACGATAAACGGATCCACATCCCCTAGCTCCGCAACCAATGGTTTCAAATCATCAGTATCTTCGTCTTCTGGGGCAAAGTAAGTTGGGAAAGGAAGCAGGGATATGTCAGGTTTTTTGTATACAGCATCTTTTATAAAAACAAAGTTCCCTGTAGCTCCTGGGACCTGTTGTGCACATCATACAAAGAGAAATAAGTCATCGCTAATGAAGCCAAAATCCAATTTTTTTAGTGACTTAATAGACAACTGTGAACCATAAAGCTGCAAACCACCACAAACTTTGCGTAAGTAATTTAGCTTAAACATCAAATTAAAATTTCTGTAGCAGTATTACTATGTGAATTGATTCTGATTTGAATTTTCAGGAAAAAATTTAGACATCAACGCTATGTCTGATGTTACGAGCAGATATTTTTTACCCTTAGGCTCCAATCTGAATGTCATAAAAATAGAAAAAAGAATTTACCTGGCCTTTCACCCACATCAAATTCCTTGCTGGATCAATTTTATAGACCCATACACTTTTAACAGTTCTTTGTTCTCCACCCATTCGCCCAGCCATCTTTTTACCTTTAAAAACCTGAAGGGTAATATAAAGCGTGTTTAAATCAATCATCGAGCAAAAATTATTGTAACCGAATTACTAACTTAAGATTAAAAACAAAGAAATATATTTTCAAGGGCTTTAAGAGACTCCTCTCATAATCTTATTTATAATGAAAAACTGATTCAATAGTACATGAAAGATTAACAGACTGTATTAGATACTTAGGTACAGAACTAGGTACGGCTATAAGTACAATTAAAAACTAGGTTTAAAAACCTGAAGGATAATATAAAGCATGTTTTAATCAATCTTCGAGCAAAAATTATTGTAACCGAATTACTAACTTAAAATTAAAAACAGAGAAATATATTTTCAAGGGCTTTAAGAGACTTCTCTCTTAATCTTCTATTTATAATGAAAAACTGAGTCAATAGTACATAGAAGATTAAATTAGGTACTGCTATAAGTACAATTTATAGATTGTCTAACACACTACACCCTACTTAGGCTTAATGATGATAATTATTCTTACAAATTTATTCAAGGAACTAAACAAATATATCGATCTAAAAGAGCACAACTTACCCTTCCCGGACCAGTTATATGACCAACAGAACCAGCGCTTCGATGGGACAATGAAGCACCATGGGATGCTGGACCTCCCTTAAATCCATGCCGCTTCATCACACCCTGGAAACAAAAATGATATTTAAAATTGACACTTACGATTTGAAGAGATCCACAAAACTGGAGGACCATTTTAGTGCCTTTTTTACTCACATTGAAGGATTCTCCGCAAGTACACAGAAAATATAAATAAAAGGAAAACATCATGATAATATACAGAAACATAGCGCAGATACATCTATAAACTTCCATACATGCACAAAGTAATATACTTCTAAAGAAAAAAAGATAAAAACAATATTTAACATGAAGGAAAGGGAAAAACACCTGAAAACCTTTTCCTTTGGTTATTCCTGTGACATCAACATACTGGCCGGGAACAAAATGGCGAACATTAAGTGATGTTCCAACAGGAAGAAGTGCATCCTCTGTCACTGGAAACTCCTTAAGCTTTCTCTTCATTGGAACTCCTTGCGCCCTAAAATGACCAACTTCAGGCTTTGTCAAATGTTTTTCCTTCTTATGTCCACAACCAATCTAACTAGAAACAAAACAGCAAAAAAAGTCTATAATTAGATACATTCAAACGCTTAAAAACATCACTGTAAAAACCATGGCATAGCTAAATGGACCACACCACAAAATATTCAAACTGTTTAAACAGTTTAATAACCCAAACCCGTTTTCTTAAACTAGTTCATTATATTGATCCAGCTTTCAATCCAATTTGTTTATTTGGTTCTAAGCTGCAAACAGACCCAAAACAATCTAACGATCTTTAATGAACAGTAGTACAACTGTCAGTAATGACTGCACCAACTTGAATATTGGCTTATTTTAATTATTATTTCTGTCCTTCCTAGTGCATTAAACTGCAGTTGTTCATGTACATCTATTCATAGAACTCCACCAAGAATGTACACTATCTAAAAAATTGAGACTTAGACTGGCTATTAATTTTCCTATCATTTCTTTGAGATTATAAGGCACCACAAGTCCATAAAGTTGTTGCTAATGCAAATCCGGGGAAAAGTGAACCACAGACATATGGTTGTTACCATTCTGTACAAACTTAATGTTACTCAGGTGAACCTTAAATTCCAAATACAGACAACAAATACACTAGAAGAAAAAAACAGGTTTTAGAATGAGTAACTAGAAGGGAAGAGAGGTGTACCTGGAGAGAACAAAAACCTTCTTTCTCTGGGGTCTTAACCTGAGACACAATGTTATCATCCACCCAAAGCACAGTGATTGGGATTCTAGCACCCCATTTATCCCAAAGCGCACTCATTCCACATTTTACCGCTATAAGCCCAGTTCGCTTGGAATCAGGGGTCATCAAACCAGGTTTTGGATCAATAATCCGAGTCTGAATCTCTGCATCAGAACTAAGAAATCGGAGCGATGAGGGTGAATTGACGGCAAAGCGCTGCAAACGGGAAACAAAGCCTCTCGAAAATGCAAGCATGGCAGAGCTACAAAAACAGAAAGAGAAACAGATCTGCGTAAAACAAAGTGAATCAACATGCTAAGAACACATGTTATTAATCGTGTCACAACCACTTGTTGATGTATAGAAATTTCAATTATCGCAAACATATCCATGTATAGAAATTACACTGAGGAAAACAGATGTAAAAGGAGATAATTTACTCTCTTTACCCTTGCACTGTTTAACATTACTGTATCACGTCTGCGTGTAGTAAAGAAAATATTTGGTCAAGGAAACTGTATATGACATTATACAACTCAAAATTCCAGGGGGTGTAGGAAAGGACTCTGACCAGATACACCAAAAACTGAAGTCTAAATAGGACACTACTTTCCTTTTCAAAGTTACCAAACCACTCCCAACTTACAACATAGTGTTATCTTACATATTCGATGAACAAACTGTCAAGTAGAAGGTCAGGTGTTCACTTATGCACATATAAACCCCAAAGAAAGATGCAGCAATTCTCAGCTTATTGGAAACTTCATAAGGTGGGACTGTATTGGGTGGTTTATTGTCCAAGTCCTAGAAAAGCTCCACCCTATTTAACTTCTCGTTTGAATTCAATTTCTGATTTTTACCCCATTCTGATCAAAATTATAATATCTCAAGCACTTATGGACGAAGCTCCGAGAAGAGGACCGAACGAAAAACACAGTAAAATCACGTTCCATTATTAAACTACATATGAACAAAAAGGCCAGGACATCATGCGCATGACCTCATAATCCAACTAAGCTTCCACTCCTAGAAAAAGAAATATAATTCAACTAAGCACTAATTGCTAGAGCTAACAAATGCATAGGGACAAAGTCAAAAGGGAGTGAGAGAAAAAGGTTTTAAAAAGTGAAGCTCATGAAATATAAGAAAACAAAGATTTTTCATTTTTCTAAATCAGTACTTTCTAAATATATTTCTATAAATCACTTTGCTAAATGCATGTGTTTGTGCATGTACAGGACAAAATATATTTCTAACATAAGAGTTTCAATGCTATATTCGTAACAGAGAAACAATGCTATATATGAATAAATCTATTCCATATAGAATAAAATCCCAAAGGAGTTTAATAGCTTGAAAAGTTAGAATTGGAGTGAAATTATTTGTTTAATATATAAAGTTTTTGTACTTGGTTTTTAACATACTGTGTTGCCTATCATATTAGCATTGATGATTATCTGCTGCATTTTTCTAGTACCTTTCTTTGTTTTTAAAATTAGTTTAATTTCTGCATAGGCAAAGGGAATGAAAACTTCACTGTTTCATATCCATGGGAAACTTATAAGCTTTATATAAAAGTAACTGTTGCCTTATGACTAATCACTGAAATCATGGTTTAAAACTATACCAAAATAGTAAGAACAACAAATAAAAAGTAAACATCACAAAATAACAGGTATATAAAAACATTTTATTTAGTAACAACTACTCCACACCAGCAGTCCTAAACACATCATTAATATGCCAATTTTTGTATGATACGTTGCTATCCTATTTCTCCTATAATGTAGGATATTATACAGAGAAAACATGTAAAAGGGATTGAAAGTGGCACAAATATAACAAGAGCCTACATCAGTCAGTAAGCCTATATCATGCTAGATAATTGACCCTCCTAAACCGAGAATAAGAATATCTACAATATTCCTATGTTGAAGAAAAAACCGTTACAACTACAAAAAAACACTGTTAAATCTATTTTCAATTCATGTCAAAACTGCTGATAAATTTTTACTTGTTATATACATCAAATAGCAATTTCTGTGTCAGCGACAGATATAGAATAAGCTGAAAGATTGATGTTGACATGAAAAAGGGTTTCAAAATTAAGAGGAAGAAGGCCAAACAGAGCACTGGCAGTGAAAATTGAAGAGAAATATCTGTTTTCATGGACTAGGCACCTTGATCTTCAGTCCTGAAATTTATAACATTATAAAATTTATAAGCAAGGTTGAGTCAGCGCAGCATCTTAAAGTAAAAAAGCAGCCTTTTACATTTCACAAACATTTCAGCTTTTACCCTCTTATGCCTCACATAACCCTTAACTTTTCACGGGTTAAGGGTTCATATATAGAGATGTCTTTTGTCCAAAAAATTATATCATTATCACCATTTCCCACCCTTTGAATCCTTTTTGTCAAACAGTACATAAACCACACAGGAAAACTGAAAACTGGGTCACAACAATCCTTAGAAAAAACACGGAAAGTATTTGAAAGAAGCTAACCTTGATTCTTCTTCGCTGCCTGTACCACCGCCGTCAAGCCGTTGAATCCACTTTATGCTGTCGTCCACCGTGCGCCGCCGTCTGTCGTCAACTCTGTGTTGCCGTCTGCCGTTGCTGTTCAGCGCTTAAGCAAATGTTTCTTCATCGATGAGAATAGTTCAGATGATGTTGTGGGACTACGGGGCTAACCCGACCCTAATTCAATCAGATCCCATTCATTGGGGTTTTTGGGCTAGAGGCTTTAGAAAAGCCCCATCAGGATGGGTCAAAGAAAATGGGTCTACCTATAGAAAAGGTCATGGCTGGCCTTAGGACTAAAAGAAGCATCTACACCTCTAACATCTCATCCCAATCTTCTAAAAATTTTATTTTTAATTTTTTAACCTCTCATTTTACACCTTCAACTTTTTCTAAAATTTCATTTTTAATTTTAATAAATATATTTTTATTTTATTCTTTTATTAAAATCACTTTAATAAATATCTTTCTATTTACTTCTCTTTCTTATTGAAAATATTCTACACCACGTTAATAATAATCTAATTTAATTTAAAATTTAAATATTAATTAATATAATTTTATATTTTAATAATTATTAAAATATGATATATATTATAATAATAATTATATTCAAAAATAAAAATAAATTATTTAAATAAAAATAATAAAAAAATAACAATAATAATAATATAAAATTTCATTTAATATATTCAAATATATTAAATTATATTAAAATATTAAAATAAATTAAATAATTATTAAATTTTAAATAAATAAAAAAATTTAAAAGACTTGTTTTTTGGATATCTAGAAAATATGCTAACAGTTTTGTTTTTATTTAAAATTTAATAAATATTTAATTTAATTGAAAAATATAATATTATTTATTATACTTTTATAATTTAATAATTATTAAAATATAATTTATATTTTTATAATAGTTTTATTAATAAAACTAAAAATAATAATATGAGTAAAATAAATGTAATAACAATAAAAATAAAAGTAATGTTTGAAATTACATTTAATATATTTAAATATATTACATTATATTAAAATATTAAATCAAATTAAATAATTATTAAAACTTAAACAAAAAACAAAATCGGATTTTGTTAATCAAGAAATCCGATAATTCATGATACTGATATGATATCCCATTAACAAATCTTTCTAAAATTTATATTTTATTTAAATTTTAATAATTATATAATTTAATTTAATATTTTAATATAGTGTAATATATTTAAATATATTAAATGTGATTTTAAATATTATTTTTATTTTAGTTATTTTTACTTTTATTTTTTTAATAAAATTATTATAAAAATATAAAATATATTTTAATAATTATTAAAATATAAAAAATAATATTATAATTTTTAATTAAATTAAATATTTATTAAATTTTAAATATAAACAAAACTGTTAGTATATTTTATTTTTATATCTGATTAATAAGCTTTTTAAAAATTTTGTTTTTATTTAAAATTTAATAACTGTTTAGTTTATTTTAATATTTTAATATAATTTAATATATTTGAATATAGTAAATCAAATTTTATATTATTATTATTATTATTTTATTTTTATTTTTTTTATTATTTTTTTTATTTTAATTTTTTTAATATAAATCATATTTTAATAATTATTAAAATATAAATTTATATTAAATAATATTTAAATTTTAAATTAAATTATTATTAAGGTGGTGCAAAATCTTTAATAAGAGAGAAAAAAAAGATAATTATTAAATTGTTTTTAATAAAAATGAGAAGAAAAAGAAAAAAGTATTTATTAAAGTTAAAAATAAAATTTTTAAAGAAATTAAGGATTCATAAAATGTTAAAAGATTAAAATTGAAATTTTTGGATGAAAGTGTGGGATGAGAAAAAATAAAAGTTGGCGGCTCTACTTTTAAATAAACAGTACACACACTATAAAATACACATAATTATGGGAATAAGGAGAATGTTTTTCATTGATGATGGCCACTGCTCATCTTTCAAAAATTGAAGAGACAATTATGTCCCTCCTTTAGAGAGTGATTGGAAAAGAAAATTACAACAAGAATTTGAAATTATTGCAAAACAAACCCAGCAGTTATATCAGTTACCAATATATCAACCTTTCTCTAGCTAAGACACCAGACAATCCACAATGTCTTAATGACAATAAAAACATTACAAACAGTTTTTTATTTTATTTATGCTAATAATAAAATCACTAACATTATTGTTGTACTTTTATTATTAGAAAATGCATCTTTTGGTATTATCATTATCCCTGAGTACTAGAGATTTAAGGCAAGTCTTACATTAAGTCTTATGCTTGTTTGTTTAGCATAGAGGAGTTCTTATGAACTTGTTTCGCTCAATTTATGTATGGTGTATCAATAGAAACATCAAGACATAGCAAGATGAAGATTATAAATTTTGCTGACGAGTCTGACGATTAAAGGTTCTCAGTAAATTTACAACTTTGTGTTTAGCTATTATAATCCAGCGGGGTTACTAGACTAAACTTCTATTTCGCGATCCTTATCATTGAAATTCGGCATGTTTCCTTCCCACAGCTCAAGTAATTCTCTTTTCATCCAAGAGATCACAATCACAGGTCCCAAAGTAGAAGGCACCTACACAAACCAACAAAAGGAACATTATAAGAGGAACCAAACACATCATAAAATCACCAAAACATGAAATCAGCAGCCCCAAGGTTAACGCAATTACTGTAAAATTTAACATTAATATGTAAAAGCTCAAGATTATCCTAGATTAAGCTTACTTTTCATTTTCGGTATGTATCAGACCAAAGGATCTCCTTCTATATTATGGTGAGAGGATATTAATGTTTATTCCATATTATGATCACAGGAAACAAGAATGAAAATGAGACAGGTTCCTGTTTAAATATTATTCATTTATATAATTCCAACAGATATGAGTTTGTATGCTCTTAAGAATGGAGCACCATTGACAACCATGAGAATAAGAACTATGGATCAGGAATGGCATTGTTTCAAATTCTACCAAGCAAATTAACTTCGAAAAAATAATAGACATGATCGAATGTGCAGTGCAACTTATGCACTGGGCCAATAGAAAGTAGTCATTATGACACTTAGACTTTGATCCTAGAAAACAGATGACAAAGTGACAAACAAATAGCACGCTACTAACATTGCAATTTACAAACTCACTATATACATCGTGAAAAAAATGTTCAACAATTTCAGTTTACAGCTGCGGTACAAATCTAGCAACCGTAACTTCTATTGATAAGTCCACCGAGGAACATAGAACCAACTTTTATAAGGGAAGTAAGGGTTACACAATGGAAACTGTAGCTTCTACTGTTAGTGCACCTGGGAGGAACATAGAACCCACTTTTACAAGAGAAGCTAGGGATATACCCAATGGCTACTGTAACCTCTATTGTTAAGTGCACCTAGGAGGAACATAGAACCAACTTTTACATATGCTGATAACAGAAGAGATGGGGAAATTAAGGAGTCAACTTTTGTGATCCATCATAAGGCCAATAATTGCATCACATAGATAATGGATTGATGAACAATCTCCTGTTTTGATCTATTTAGTTTAACCCCAAAAAATCTGGCAAAATCATCTTCAGATTGAATTTCAAGATGGCAATTCTTCAAGTTGGTATGCCATACTAATAGACTGGATAGAGAAATAACAAAGCTAAAATGAGTAATAACTGTGACAACTTTCTTTTATTAGTCATACAACCTAAAACCTCCCAATATATAAATAGATAAAGGAATTCCAGTTGTGTACCCATGACCACAAAAAACTTTTATTATATCAAAAAGGCAAAAGTCATTCTATGCCAGCGATCTACGTAACTTAAAGTGTTTTAATAAGTTGAATTCAATGTCTTCCCTGCTTATGAGCACACAAACAGAAAAATCTATATAGAAAATATGATAACAACAAAAGTTCTAGAATAAATGATGTAAAAAGTAAAGGTAGCTATGAAATCAGTATAATGACAAGAATAAAAAGAAAAACAGAAATACCAGATAAAGAAGTGCAGGTTGAGGTGAGTGAGTCAAGACACCAGCAGCCAAAGCAGTAATCAAACCAATGGCATACCCAGGTAGTGCATACCATATGTACTTGTGCCCCTTTGAGGAATGTAACTCAAAGAGATTTACAATGTCCCTGCTCTTGCGATAATCAAAGCAGAGGACTAAAGCCAGGAGCATTCCTGGGATAGCCTATAAAAAGAAGAGCAAAATTTATAAGACATGGTCAACATGCGTTGATATTGTAAACAAATAATTGATAGTTTAACAATACAAACACTGGAGCACAAAGAAAGCATAAGCATTTAACTTATCACATTCAATGCAATCTTACAACATAAATTTCAATGAAATCAAACCACCTTGTAGCATGAGAAATTAAAAACCCTTTCAAATTTCAGTCCAATATAAAATGGTTCAGGGGAAGGAGGTTACAGCAACATGTACAATATAACAAAGTGAACTTTAACCATTTTGTTTTTCAATTTTAGTGCTCTTGCTCTTGCATATTATGACATAATATTTCCCCAAAAAGGGGTTCAAAATCATAATGATAATAAATGTTAATCCACATAACATACATAAAACCTAGCGAGGCATGATCCATGAAGAAAACATGAGAAAGAAGTGAACGGCATATAAACTTGGCACAACCGATTTAAATCAAACAACATGAAGCTTTCTATAGTTCAATATTTTGCGCAGTAAATCCAAAACAACACAGTCCTTCATATGACAGTAAACAATTGAAAAGACAGTCTAAAACTCAGAAACAGTTGCGAAAAAATCCACATAACGTCAGAGATAGAGGGTAAGAATGTCATACCATGTCTCCTAAACCAAGCATCATGAAGTCTGTCGCATTCTCTCCAGGAACAACACCGCCCAGCAAATTTCTTGGAAAAACAATCTTTACAGGCAACTCTAACTTCTTAGTTATTAGTTGCAACCCAGGAAGGCTTAAACTATTAGCAACTGTGTGCACGGGATTTGATGCTTGCTGCGTTGCTACTGATACCATGACATTTGCACCAAAAAATCTTTCGGAGAAGAAAACCCAAAAAATGTCATATACGAATAGACAAAGAAGGAGCATTGCACAAATCTTGATGTTTGGGAGACGCACATGGCTTA